AGAAGCACTCTGGCTGTTTTTTGTATATATATATATTTTTTTTTTTAAGAAGGCTAGGACAGAATATTGACAGAGAACTATCAGAAATTCATACTGGGTTTTGATGAGGCTGTGGCACTAGGGATATCACTGTTGATTTCAGACAGATCTTGGCTGAAAACAGAGAATACTAGAAACATATCTACTTCTGTTTTATTGACTATCCAAAGGCAAATAATTTGACTGTGTGGATCATAACAAACTATACCAAACACTGAGAAGAATGGGAATCCCAGAAGCCTTAATCGTGCTCATGTTAAAGAAACCTATGTATAGGCCAAGCAGCTATTTTGGGAACAGAGCTAGAGAACACTGATATGATTTAAAATCAGGAAAGATGGGCATCAAGTTTGCATCATTTCTCCATACCTATTCAATCTGTATGCTGGGTAGATATTTGAGAAGCTGGACTCTATGAAGAAGAATGTGGCATCAAGATTGGAGGAAGATCATCAATATCATGCAGATGACAGTCTTATTTGCCAAAAGTGGACTTGATATAGTTGCTACGGAATATAAAAGACTACATACAGTCATCAATATGCATTTCACCTCAACTTCAAGAAAACAAACCCCCTCAGAATTGGGCCAATAGGTAACATCATGGTAAGTGGAGAAAAGATTGAAGTTGTCAATGAGTTCATTTTACTTGGATCCATTATCAGAACACATTTTTAGTAGTTGTTGTTGTTAGGTGCTGTCAAATAGTAGACAACTCATAACGACCCTATTAACGAGAGGCCTGAGCACTGTTCGTACATAGAGTTTCCAGAGGCAAGCCATTTCGGGAGTGGAAGCCACTCCTGCTTCCAGGCTTGTTTTAGTCAGGAAGCTCCAGCAAACACTGTCTACCATGGGTAACCATTACCATGTTTGGCACATCAGTGTCACTGTGTTCAGCATCACAGCAACCATGAGTTACCTCTGTACAGAAATGCACAGACCAGTGCTATACCACCTAGAAGAATGTTTGACAGGAAAACAATTTGAACCCGGCCTGAGGGCCGTGTAGTCTAGAAATTAAAAGACATGCAACACTGGGAAAATATGCTGACAAGAACCTTGCCAAAGTGCTAAATTACGCCATTTTAAAGACTAAGGTGTGCGTGATCCAAGTAATGGTCTTTTTCCCATTCACTCCCCCCACCCTCTTGTTGTGTACTGTCAAATTGGATCTGACTAGTACAGATTTCCCCTCCTTCTCCAGTGGAGCATGTGGTAGATTCAAACCGTGTGCCTTCAGTATTATAGAGCAGCTTCTTGCCACTAGGCCATCAGAGCTGTCAAGTCATGGTCTTTTAACTTACTTAGTATGAATCTGAAAGTTGGACAATGAAGAAATATGGCAAGAAAAGAATCAGTGCTTTTGAGTTGAGGTGTTGGAGAAGAGTATTGACTATTCAGTATAGACTGGCAAAGGAACAAACTTCCTTCTTGGAGCAAGTACAACAAAGAGTCATACTCAACTTGGTGGCACCCAACAATTGTAAGCTATGGCTTAACTAGAATATCAGATATAACTGATATAGTCATCAGAAGGCAAATTAAAGGATTATTGTTTTCAGGTGCTGTTGAGCACAACTCATTGACCCTATGAACAGCACATCCGAACCTTGCCTAACCTGTGCCATCCTCACCATCTTTGATACACTTGAACCCATTGCAACAGCCACCGTGTCATCAATGTATCTCACTAGGGAGTCTTCCTCTTTCATTGAACCTCCTTTCCAAGGATTAGTATCTCCTAGCAACACACCCAAAATCTAAGAATTGAAAGCTTTGCCATCCTTGCTTCCATGGAGCACTCTGGCTGCACCCCTTTCTAAGACATACTTGTTCGTTCTTTTGGCAGTCCATGGGATCTTCATTACTCTTTCTTCACATCCAACTCAAAAGCATCAATCAGTTCTTCTTCTGTCATCATTATTCACTGTCTAACTCTCAAATGCATAGCAAGTGATTGAAAAGACCATGGCCTGATTCAAGTGCATCTTAGTCTTCAAACTAACATCACTGCTCTTCAGTATTTTGGAGAAGTCCTTGACAGGAGACTTGCCCAAAGTAGTTATGTCTCTCCTGACTGCTGGTACCAAAGGTAATGAAAGAAAGTCTTTATGTATGTCAAAAGAATTCTCCAGAGAAGTAAAAAGAGAACTGACAGTTGTTAAAAAGTATTTGCTAATGACATATCTGACAAAGAACTGATCTCTACAATTTAAAAATACCACCAAACCCCCCCCAATATCTCAGCAAGAAAAACACAAAATTACAAAATGAGCAAAACACATGAATAAACATTTTGCCAATGAAGATAGTCAGATGGCCAACACGCACATAAAAAATGCTCAAAATCATTAGCTACTAAAGAAATACAATACTTATTTTAGTGGAGACAGTACTTCTCCCACAGCTAGTGCTCTAAAAGGGATCACAGTATTTCCTGGACAGAGTGGTTGGAAAACATTGCACAAAACTTAGAACATTTGCTCAGATGACAGGGGGAGGCTAGGAGGAATAGTGGAAATCACAGGGTAGAAGAACAATACAGTTACACTATAGGTATTGTGATCAACATCCTTAAACAAAATGTGTGGATGACTGAATGGGAAGCCAATTTGCCGTGCAAATTTGCACTTATAGCACAAAGGAGACTTCAAAGGACCATTCTTTATGGTTAGACTGAGTTCCCTCTATGTTGTTGTGTGCTGTCAAGTTGTAGTGACTCATAGCTGACTCTCCAGTGGTTTTCAGAGTCTGCAAATCACACATTGTCCATCTTTCTCCTGCAGAACAGGTGGTGAATATGAATTACAGGCCTTCTAGTTGACTGTAGAACTTACCACTAAACCACCAGAGCTCCCAAAGTTTTCTCTATAGATTAATGTAAAAATAAACTGGAGATAAACCATTTAAATCCTTTTGCTAAAGGGCAGGCCTTTTGGCTGGGTAAGATGAGAGTACCTTAAGGAAGGACAGGGTAGGGGATAATGAGGTGGGACGGAGGACTTTAAATCAGAGTAGACCTTTTTATCCTCTTTCATCCTGGAATCAACAGGGCTTGGACTGCATACCCTGCTGCTGCCTCAGGGCTGTCCTTGTGAACACTGATCTATCGCCAGTACCCTGGGCTATAGTCCAGGTCTTGCTTGCCCACACCAGCTGACAGCAATGAAGGTGCCATGTCTTTGCAAATGATTGTCCATCATCTCCACTAGTGGAAGGAGCCTTCCATCCTTCTCAGCCTGACTAGCCATGCCATACCCAGGAGCAAAAGGAGATGCAGGATGGCCTAGGTACCCCTTAGCACAAAGCATATCTGCATATATCTATGCACTCACACACTACCTTATGTTCCCCACCTGTACTCATACCCATAGACACACCTGCAGCCACTCACATACAACCTAACTCATCCCCCAACATCCATACTTAGAGGCCACAGCCATAATTCACACCACCACACTCTCTCTTCCCACAAGGTACCTTTCCTTCCTGAAATGCTGGGTTGTACCTAGCTGGGTGTCTAGGGGAAAGAGGTTTTCTAGATGCCACACTTGGTTGGTTCTGCAGGAAACCTTCCCACTGGTCTCCAGCCCTATCTCTACTGTTTCAGGCAACAGTCCCACTTAGGCAGGAGGCCTATGAGAAACTGATTTTGGACAGACTTGAGTGGTGTGGGTGCTCCTGGGGAAAGATCTATTTTGGGGCCAGCTCCTCTACTCTGCCCTTCCTACAACTGTGCCACTGGCCACCTGCTGCTGCCTGTCTGGGCCTGGAATGCTGGCAGGTGGGGGAGGGGGGATACAGGAGAAGACTGTTATAAAGCTGGGAGCACTGGGGCAGCAGCTGTCTCCATCCACACCAGAGCTGTTGCTACCACCACAGGTTTGCCCACCCACACTTGCTGTCATCATGTCTACCCACCGCTTGGTTATTGTGCGGCATGGAGAAAGCACATGGAACCAGGAAAACCGCTTCTGTGGCTGGTTTGACGCTGAGCTGAGTGAGAAAGGGACTGAGGAAGCCAGACGGGGTGCCCAGGCCATCAAGGATGCAAAGATGGAGTTTGACATCTGCTATACCTCGGTGCTGAAGCGGGCCATCCGCACACTGTGGACCATCCTGGACGGCACTGACCAAATGTGGCTGCCTGTGGTCCGCAGCTGGCGCCTCAATGAGCGGCACTATGGTGGCCTCACAGGTCTCAACAAAGCAGAGACAGCTGCCAAGCATGGGGAGGAGCAAGTGAAGATCTGGAGGCGCTCCTTCGACATCCCACCACCCCCAATGGATGAGAATCACCCTTACTACAAGACCATCAGCAAGGTGGGCTGCACTGGCTGTGGCCATGCATGAGGGCAGGTGTAGTGGGTGGTCCAGGGTGGAAACAATGTCTCTGCCACCCCTAGGAACGCAGGTATGGAGGCCTGAAACCTGGAGAGCTGCCCACCTGTGAGAGCCTTAAAGACACAATTGCCAGGGCCTTGCCTTTCTGGAATGAGGAGATTGCACCTCAGATCAAAGCTGGCAAGCGGGTGCTTATCGCTGCCCACGGCAACAGCCTGCGAGGCATTGTCAAGCACCTGGAAGGTGAGATACACCTTTCCCTTTCCCTGTCCCATGTGAAGCCAAGGTCCTCTTGTCTAAGGGTGTTTTCAAATGGTGGGTTCCACACCACTGATACACCATCTGAACATGTTATATTTATACCCTGGGACACTAAAGGTTTTAAAGTTTGTACATTACTGACCTCCAGCTGGAGTTTAACTGGGGCCTAATACCAGTGGGTGGGATGGACAAGTTCAGAAGACAGCTTCCTGTATAAAACACCAAGGCAGGAAAGGTCAGGCTCAGATCACGCAGCACAAGCCCCATCTCCTCCTTCTCGGGAAAGCTGAGCTCCTTAGGTACTGCTCACCAAGTCGAACCAAGGTCACCCATTTTTGGCCTCTACAAGCCATGTCTCAGCACCCAGTCCTGGGAACCCCCCAACAAAAGGATGCACAAGGCATAGTGAACAAATAGCTGCTAGGTCTCTTCCCAGAAGAGACCAGGAGATGGTGACCTTGAGGCCCTTGTGGGTAGCACTCCTGGTTAGTAGATGGGGCCAGAATACCAGGGTGGGGGGAAACTGAAGATTTTTTTTCCCTTTGAATTCCACCTTGAAAATTTTTTGTCTCCATAATTTCCATTCACTGCACTCTAAGGAGACTCAGATTCACCACCTCCATCAAGCTTCTGAGACTACAAATCTTGGGGATGAAAGGAGGGTGCTCATCTTTCTTCCAAATAGCAGCTGGTGAAGTCAAACCCCTGCCCTTTAAGTTAGCAGCCCAGCATGGAAAGGTCACCAAGGATCCTTTTTCACACAAGGACTGTCTAAATTACCATCTCGACCATTTGGTTTGTCAACATGAAAGGCCACATCTGGGGAGTACGCAGGGAGGGGACAGAGGTGCCTCTGATAACTGACCAACTGGCCCAAGATCCTAACACCAGATCACCAAAACGGCTCTCTCCCATCCAGAGCTCCAGGCCTGGAGGGTGCCTGCCACCTCTCTCGCCCTAAGGGATATTTTCCTGGACCCTTCCATGTGTGGAGTGTAGGGTGACTGAAAGCCAAAGGTCAGCTGCTATTCCAGGCGTCAGGGCTGCCTAAGGCTGGGCAGGGTCAGGTTCCAGAGATGTTGCACTTTTCCACTGGCCCTCCTTTCACTGTCCCCAGTGTCTGTCACATAAGCCCCACATCTGTTGGATGTACCTAGTGGTTAAGACCCTCCTCAAACTTAGACCCAGCCAGAGATGGGGGGCAGCAACCCACTACTGTGCTCCAGCCCGTATCATTGGGCCTACAGGACATTCCTGTGGCTTTGCTGTGTGCATAGGGAATGTCATAATGACTGCTGCTATAAAGGTCCCAAGAGTCCCTGCGTGACACAAGCAATGAGGCTACACAGTTGGGGTGCCAAAAGGGGTTAATGTCACCTATCTCCCACCCCAGGAATGTCTGACCAAGCCATCATGGAACTGAACCTGCCCACGGGGATCCCCATTGTGTATGAATTGGATGGAGCACTGAAGCCCACCAAGCCCATGCGGTTCCTGGGTGACGAGGAGACTGTGCGTAAGGCCATGGAAGCCGTAGCCGCCCAGGGCAAGGCCAAGTAAGGTGAAGCCTGGACAATAAAAGTGTTTCCTCTCTTGTTTGGCTCTGCTCTGCCCGCCTAAGCACCCTATCATAGGAACAGGGTCCCACAACCCACAGGTACAGAAAGCCTCTCAAGCTTAGCTCACCAGGGGCACCTAAGGGATAGTCCTATTACAGGGTCAACAGACTGTCCACTCTGGAACCTGCACTGCTTACATCCATCCCTACAATGACTGCTAAGTACTCAGAACTGTTGGGATTGTTGGGAGGACTCAGAAGTCCCAGACAATAGGTTCTGGAGCATTGTAAACCCCTGTGCCCAGATATAACAGTTCCAGCCAGCTCTCTATAGAAGACAAATTGAGAGTCACTGTCAGAGATGTGGGCTGTGACGAGAAATCTGCCAAGTGGGTGGGGCATGCATGGGCAGGTCCCAATATACTTGAGGAGTCAGCCAGTTCCTCATCCCAGATTCAGAAACCTCAGTGGGGGTCTGGGCCTCCCTGCACTTCCCATAAGGGAGGATGAGACATGGTATGAAAGGGGGCTGGTGATTTCTGGGTACCTGTGCATCATCAATAGGGAGTTGTGCTACTCAAAGGTGGCAACTCTGGTGGTCCAAATCCATCAGTAGCTCCTCAGGAGACAGATGGACTATCTCTCATGAAAATGGATAGCCTCTGACAATCCACTGGAGGGCCAGCTGAATCAGTTCTGACTAAATGGCAAAGGTGAGTGTGCACAGGGGCCAGGAAGGAAGCTGCACACTTGTTTACTGTAATCAACCCCAACAGTCCTCTGGGAAAGTGTTCTACAACAGCAGATGGAGCACAAGGCCCAAGATTCAGCCCTGCCATTCACACTGCTAATCTGACATCTAGTGCTGAAGGTGCTTTGCACACTACACACACATGAGTACACACACACACCCTTGACACAAAGCACACCACAGCATTCTGGGAAGAAATGTATGTCTTTTAGGGGTTGTATTTCAGCAGTAGGAAGGCAATGAAAGCTGGAGGTCTGTGTTCATCACACTGGCAATCCTCAGGCCAAAGCAGAATCCTTCTCCACAGACATGGGCTGGGGCACAAACAAGCAGCAGCAGCAGCGGCATGAGACATTTTCTCATTACTTCTCCTCAAACAAGCATTCTGAGGAAGAAGCTGGTGTTGGTTTGAAGCGTGCATGGCCAGTAGACAGGGACAGTTGTTTCCAACAAAGGACATGTCAAGGCTGTGAGGATTTCATACCTCTCCTTCACCTGACAGTCCCCAGGCTGAGGGCCACTGAGCCAGCTCCAGTGTGGTCCCCTCCTGTCCTCAGTGACCACAGTCTAGTCTAACTCTGGTCATAAATTTGCAGTACAGTTCTCACTTGCTTTGCCTGAAGGTCATACCTGACAGCGGGAGCCACCACCCTTAGAAGCAGGAAGGAAAAGGGCAGCTGCTCCTGACCAGCTCACTGCAGAGAAGGCAACCAGTGGCTGGGGAGCACTGTCCAGCACCATGACCCCTATTCTTCTCAGGCAGAGGCCATCGAGGGCTGGTCCAAAGGAAGGTTCATTTTCCAGCTGGAAGCACGCTTCGGAATCACAGGTTATTGCTGCAGAGGGATCCTGAGGCCTCAACTTCATCATATTCATAGAGGTGTGGCATGTAGCTCTCATGCCACCTTCCCAGGCAGAAAGAAGGCTGCATAGGGCCTCAGGCACCACCTTTCTCACTCAATGAGCTCCACGTAGTTGGCAGGGAACATGCCAAAGTGGCCATCTGGCCCATAGCCTCGCCACCAGCCCTCATCGATCACCTCAATGCCCGTGATGAGGTTCTCAGGATCAAAGGAGATCTCTGTGTCATCAGCTGCAAGGAGATGTTGAACAGAGCTGCTGTTGCATAGGCTCAGCTCAAACCTGCTCTTCCTCTACAAGGTGACACTCCATGGCTCATTTCTCAGAAACAGGTCCTGTCAGGACATTACTCCAAGCCCTATTCACAAGACTGGAGTGTAGCACTACCCCCAGCCATTCTGTTTTTCAGCTCCTTCCCTTTACCAAGGGCAGCCTGGTAAGGGAGTCTCTAGGCCTGGTCACTTTTTTAGCTATCACTAAGCTCCAGAACAACTAGGATTCATAGAACTGGTCTATGTGGTAGTTCTCCAAGGAGCTCCCTTTAGGGCTCCCGCACCAACCCCAGGCTGCTGTCCCAAATGCAGCCCAAAGAATTCGTTCATCTCCTGACTTCTCACTGCCATCTTGCAGTCTGAGCTTGTGAACATGAGCATCATACCTGCCTGGTAGTCATACAGGGCCCGGGCGCAAAGCCCCTTCCCTTGCTCGTAGCGGGTGCTATGTTCAGAGTCAGCATCTTCCTGATGTACCTGTCCAGGGATGGGGCAAAAGAGCAGGATCATTATCCCTCACACTCATCCCTGCCGTATGCAGCATAGGGCTTGGCTGGGTAAAGGGAGGAGGGAACAACACCAGAGCAATGACAGCCTTGTAGGGTTCGGGAATACTGCAGGTCAGATTCTACCCCAGTACCCAGAAACCATCTTAAAAGCTTGCAAGTATTGCCACAACCTCCTCTCCACTCACTCCTTCTGAAGATTAGAGTTTGCCCAGGCAACCTACTACCAGTTAGGTTCTCAGAAAGAGAAAATCTGTACATATGTTACAGAAAAAAACCAGGTGTGCCAAAGAACCTGCATCCCCATTCTGCAGGGAACCAACCAGTGGGGGCTCCTCATAGAGACTCTCATGCTCCAGCGGCTCCTGGTAGACAGTCTCCTCCTCCACCTGCACTGCAGGCTGATGGGCAACAGGTATCAGATCCTCAAGGAAATCTGAATCAGGATACACAATTCACTCAGATTTGGCCTGCCCTCCCCACCTTCCTCAGAGGTACCTAGAGGAAGTGTTCACCACCACCCGCCTCAGTGGTCCCTAGAATAGAAAGGCCTTGCCTGTCCTGGGCCTCAATGATGGAAGAACAGGCTCCAGGGTAGCAGGTAAGTCTGGCTGGGTGAGCTGTTTCTGAAGGAAGGGGCTCCTCAGTTTGCCTAAAATGCAAAGGTAAACACAATACATGCACTGTAAGCCAATATGGAAAACTACGCAGAAGAATCTCCATTCTATTCCCCATCTAACTGCCCAAAGACCACCCTGTCATGGGACATGACAGCTGTCATGAAGCAACCAACCAGCTGTGCCTGCCAATCCCAGGACACAGATAATCGTGAGGAGCAAGCCACTATGAAGCAGGCCCACCAGAGCCAAGCCCAGTCAGCTCACAGAGCTTCCAACATCTCCTTCCCAAGCTGAGCAGCCTCCTTCCAGAGACTAAGGTGGCAGAGACAGGATGGGGATAGAGGTATAAGCGAGGGGGAAGATGCACCAGAGAGCCAGGCAGTGTGCTCTGCAGGCCCATAGTAGTAGTCTTGTTTCACCTGGCACTCCAGGGGTGACTGACAGAGCATGGGGATTCAGCTAGCCTGGCACTCTGTGAACTCAGTCAGGGGCCTAGGGGTTTAGGTGGGTAAGTCTCCACTCTGGAGGAAGAAGCCAGGGGTGGCTGTAACACAGCACAATCTCTTCTTCTGGCAAAACCTGGACCCAGGTTATCATACCATCCCAATCAACCCTCATCACAGGACATCTTGTCATCGTCACCATGAGAGGTTGAGCCATTCAAACTGGGTTCAAACTGGGTCCCTGTTCTGGGGAAGATGGTGCACAGTTTGTCCCTTGCCTGGTTCAGTAGTCTTACCTGGCTGGGAGGTGGTGATGGAAGTGGTAGACATGGCTCTCTCCTTTTGCCTGAAGATGTCCCGTGGGTGTGTAGTCTGCTGACAGGTGAACTCCTGGGAAGAAGTGAACATAAACTGGCCGGATAACTTTTGGAGGTGGAATGCTTCCCACCTTCCTTGCCCCACAAGTCCACCATCCTGCCTGGCTTCTCAGGAGTCTTCTAGGACCTATCTGAGGTCAGTATCAGAGTCTCGTCACCTCTAGACCCCTCCATATGTCCCAAGTTAAAATCTGACCAAGTCAGTTCTAGGGTCCTAAACTCCTTGCCTCCCTGGGAGAGCTCAGAGAGGGGACAAGCTCATGGCTGTCAGGGGCCCCTGGCCTCCTGAGACTGCTCAGAGGGAGGACAAGCTCACGGATGTCAGGGCACACTGGAGAAGACCCCACCAGGTCTTGAGCTGAGGCTTCTGCCCAAGGCCAAGAGCTTCCAATTCTATCACTGTGACACGGGCTGGGCGGGGCCAGTGCTCAGTAGCTACAAGTGTGTCCACATCTCACCTGGTCCCTTGCTGTCCCTGAAATTACTCCTTGCTGTTCCAGCTTCCTGTTGGGAAGGACAAAGAAGAGTTCTCTCACAAACATGGGCACAAGGGGCAAGCGAGGAACACTCCCAGGGAGGTGAGGTTTGAATTGTGGCCCACAACAGGCTCAGAGGTAGTCACCTCCGCCAGCAGTCTTGTGACCTCTTCTACAGCAAGCAGGGCTCACCTCCAGGAGCTTGCCTCCTGCTCCTGCTGCTGATAGTGCTGCTCACGGTAAGCTGCCTCCTGCTGCTCTCGGTGCTGGAGTTCCCGCTCTAGGCGCTGTCGCTCCTCTTCTGCCCGCTGCTTCTCCTCCAGTCTGCGGTTCTCCTCATCTTTCTGCAGGAGAGCTGTGCTGCCTATACCCAGTTCAGTCCCAGACAAGACACCCCAAGCATTCTGCACAGCCAGGGGCTGCTGTGACTCGCCCCCAAACTGTGCACAGAATCAGGTTAGCCTGGCCATGTAACTCAGTCTAGATTTTCTTATGAGCTACCCTTCACAAGGCAAAGGTATATACAGGGTGGTGATCTGGAATGGTTCTAGGGAGGGCATGTACTACTAACCTTATCAGTAGTCCCAGCTATCTGTAAATCAAAAGCTAACAAAAACTTATGGAAAAATAAAATATGACAAATTATCTGTCTGATGCCTGTCTGGCACACAGTACGCACTCAGAAAACATTGGCTCTTAGAACAGAGCACAGGCAGGCTCACCTCTGCTTTGGCCCAGAAGCTGTCTTTGTCAACTCTTTTGATCTCAGACACTGCATTGGTCTTTTGGTACACAGAGCCCTGTAAGGGCAGAGCAGTCCATCAGAAACCCAGGCTGCAGGGGTAGGCTAGACCCGGCCCACAGGTCCCAAGATCATAATGAGGGCTGTGAGGACATGACTTGGTAAGATTTGAGGTAGGATGATACTGTGATATTCTGGCAGGGGCCTGAAAACAATCTAGCAAGGATGCCTCAGCTAATGATGCCATTCTTCATATGGAGGACCCCAGAACTTGGCAGCACCCACATCAACCACTAAGGATACACACTGCCCACTGGATGAAGAGGACATTTAGCTCCCGGCTATAGTCTCTGAGGTGCTGAGACCACACATCTGCAGGTTGTTTCAGTCACAAGGTGTACCCTGACCCACTAAAGATTAACCAGTTTCAGGGTAGCAGGGTCTAGCTGTTGTGACAGGCATTTGTCCCCACAGGAGACTCTAAAGGCAATCAGGCAGGCGACTACGTTGCAGGCCACAGATTCTGCTTCTCCTGAGGAGCAGTGTCTACTCACTCCTCAGTATAGCACTACTTCATGTCCACAAGTGCTGGCCAAGAGCCCTCCATATCTTTACATGACACCAGCTAGTGACTAGATGCCAGGTAGAGTGAAGCTACTACTATACATGCCCATCTGATTTCTTCAGGTCCAGAGCAGCAAAAGTGGGCAGTGGAGGGTGGTACTCACCACAGGGGCTTGAGCTCCCACATCCTGAAAGCGGCTGCTCTCCTTGTGAAAGTTGTAGTTTGCCCCTGAAGCCTTGGCGACCTTCTCCATGATGGACTCAGGTTCCACATCTTCCTCAGCCCGGGCATTGATGGTCACATGGGCTCCCTAGGAAAGGAAGTTCCCAACCCAAATGGAAAACCCTCAGTGCGCAGCAAAGCAGGCATGCGTCCTCCCCGACCTCTGGCTTATGGGAAGATGCACCAACTCACTGATCAGCATCTGAGTGATCACCTCACTGTCTCAGCCATGTCAGGGCTTGCCCAGCTGTACATTAAGGTACATTAAGAGCACTGCTCCCCTCCTGCTCCCACAGTGACTTTCAGTGGCAAACAAGCTACTTTTCTATAAAAAGCAAGCACAGGTCTGTACTCTGCTCTTCTACATGCACAATGAATCTGGGATCCACAGAGATTAAAAAACTGAGGCACAACTTTTAACTTTCTTGCAGAAATAGAAAAATAAAATATGACCCAGTGTCTCCTGGCTACAAGTCAATTAAATAAAACCACTAACAAATAAGCAAATGCTTTTGATACAGATGCTTTTCCATGTTAAAAACAATTAAAACATGATTATACACTATAATCAAATGTACTGCTATATCCTGAAGTACAATGTTCTAAGTGATAGGATATTATACATACACATAAACGGAAGACCTGTAATATTATTCAAATATACACACCAATAGTTAAAGTCAAAAGTAGGAAACTGGAGATTTTTCCCAAATTCTGCAGTCCAAAACTGATCAACCGTGCAATCAATATGTGTTAGTAACTGGTGACTAGAATGCCAAAGTTGCAAACAATGAAGAAGGAATGATAGTAAGAAAATACAGATCTAGTGACAGAAATGAGGCCAGAAATAGAATGACTGAATACTGTACATTCAATTATTTCATCATTGAAAGTATTTTTTTTTAAAAAAGAAACACCACAAGGGAGCTCTGGTGGCCTAGCAGCAAGAAGCTGCACTGCAATCCTAGATGTGCCTGGTTCGAATCCACCAGATGCTCTGCTGGAGAAGGAGGGACAATCTCCTCCTGTTCCAGTCAGATCTGATTTGATGGTTCATGCTCAAAAAAGAATAAAAATTTTAAAAAAGAAAACACTACAAAACAACCAACGGCAACATTACACATGGACCTAACCTGAAGGAATGTGCAGGAATGTGATTGATTACCTCCATGCAAGGAATCACTGTTGTTGTTGTTGTTATGTGCCGTCGAGTCGTTTCCGACTCATAGCGACCCTATGCACAACAGCTCTAAACCCTGCTCTA